CAGGTAGGAGTGCAGTGGTGCGATCTTGGCTCACTGCAACCTCCACCTCCCAGGTTCAAGCGATTCTCCTGGCTTATCCTCCTGAGTAGCTGGGACTACAGGCACTTACCACCACACTTGGCTAATTTTTTGTATTTTTAGTAGAGACAGGGTTTCACCGTGTTAGCCAGGATGGCCTTGATCTCCTGACCTCATGATCCACCCGCCTCAGCCTCCCAAAGTGCTGGGATTACAGATGTGAGCCACCTCGCCAGGCCTAATTTTTGTATTTTTTAGTAGAGACGGGGTTTCACCATGTTGGTCAGGCTGGTCTTGAACTCCTGACCTTAAGTGATCTGTGCACTCAGCCTCCCCAAGTGCTGGGACGACAGGCGTGAGCCACCATGCCCGGCTATTGCTCACCTTTTATTTGCATGCATGATGAGTGTTCTGTGGGTCAGTCAGTGGGATGTGAGTGTGTGGATTCGTGCACATGCAGCAGGCGGTGGGGTGTCCTCTGTGGTCCTGGCTCTGGCTGAGTTCTGCTCTGTCCCCAGGTGAACTGCTGCAGTGGCTGGAGAGACGACATGTGCTCTATGGACTGGTGGCCAGCAGTGAGGCCGCGCCGCGAGGACCTGGCCTGCAGCCCCTGCTCCAGACCTCTCACCGCCACCGCCACCGCCGTGCAGCTGCCAGCAACCCTGCACACCACTGCTGCCTCAGTGGCTGTAGCCAACAAGACCTGCTGACCCTCTGTCCCTGATGATTGCTCCTTGGGTGCAGCCTCAGAGTGGCCTGAGGCCCCGAGGGGTCTGGTCTGCCGAGCTCCGAAGACCACACAGCACCATAAAGTCTCACATCTGCAGGAACATTGTTGATTACCTCTTGGGATGAGATGCTCACTACCTACCCCAGACCAATGCCACCGGCAGCCTGTGGCGTCAACTGTAGAATAAATCACACCCTAGCCCTGGCTTGGGGGATCCCCACTTTCACAGATGCTGGACACTGAGAGCCGAATGTCCTCACTCTGGAGGAGCCTGATGCTCTGTTCCCTGCACGTGTAACACCCCTTCCTGCTGTCTCCTAGTAAATAAACAATGCAAAGCAGCTTTCTGCATTTTCCATAGAAAAAGAGACCAGCCTCACTTAGTCCCATGTGGGCTTGTCCCCTCACAGCCACAGACCCACGGGTACTTCCAGGAGCTTGATATCTAGAGAGGCATTGCTATGCAAAGTGGGGAAACTGAGGCCCAGGGAGACGGCTGCTTGCCAAGGTCAGACAGGGTGGGAAGGGTTAAGTGCTGGACTTGAGCCAAGGTCTCTACCAAAGCCCATGGGAGTCCTGAGCCCTGAGGACCTAGAATGGTAGACACTAGACACAAATGTCTGAAAATGATCATGGCAAAACACATTGACTGGCGTTCGCGAGAGGGTCTCGCTCTGTTGCCCAGGCTGGTCATGAACCCCTGGTCTCAAGTGATCCATCTGCCTTGGCCTCCCAAAGTGCTGGGATTACAGGTTTGAGCCACCCACCAACTCATTTTGTTTTTTTGGGGTTTTTTCTGAGACAGAGTCTCACTCTGTCACCCAGGCTGGAGTGCAGTGGGATGATCTCAGCTCACTGCAACCTTCCTCTCCCAGGTTAAAGCGATTCTCCAGCCTCCACCTTCCAGGTTCAAGCAATTCTCGTGCCTCAGCCTCCCAAGTAGCTGGGATTACAGGCATGTGACACAATACCCTGCTAATTTTGCATTTTTAGTGAAGATGGGGTTTTACCATGTTGGTCAGGCTGGTCTCAAACTCTTGACCTCAGGTGACCCACCTGCCTCTGACTCCCAAAGTGCTGGGATTACAGGCATGAGCCACCATGTCCGGCCTCATTTTATTTTTGAAATAAGGTGTCCCTCTCACCTGGGCTGCAGTGGCATGGTCCTGGCTCACTGCGACCTCAACCTCCCAGGCTCAAGTGGTCCTCCCATCTCAGCTTTCCAAGTAGCTGGGGCCACAGGTGGGCACCACCATACCTGGCTTTTTTTTTTTTTTTTTCTGTAGAGATAGGGTCTTGCTGTGTTGCCCAGGCTGGTCTTGAACTCCTGGACTCAAGTGATCCTCCCACCTTGGCCTCCCAAAGCCCTGGAATCATAGGCATGAGCCATTGTGTCCGGCCCTATTGCCTCATGTAAATTCTGCTAAGGCTGGTGCAGTGCCTTATGCCTTAATCCCAACACTTTGGGAGGTTGAGGTAGGTGGATCCCTTGAGGCCAGGAGTTCGAGACCAGCCTGGCCAACATGGTGAAACCCTGTCTGTACTAAAAATGCAAACATTAGCTGGGCATGGTGGCACATGCTTGTAATCCCAGCAACTCGGGAGGGTGAGGCATGAGAATCACTTGAATTTAGGAGGCAGAAGCTGAGATCACACCACTGCACACAGAGCGAGACTCTGTCTCAAAAATAAAATCAAGGCCAGGCACGGTGGCTCACACCTGTGATCCCATCACTTTGGGAGGCCAAGGCGGGTGGATCACCTGAGGTCAGGAGTTTGAGACCAGCCTGGCCAGCATGGTGAAACCCCATCTCTACTAAAAGTACAAAAATTAGCCGGGCATGGTGGCAGGCGCCTGTAATCCCAGCTCGAGAGGCTGAGGCAGGGGAATCGCTTGAATCCGGGAAGGGAAGGTTGCAGTGAGCTGGCCGAGATTGCGCCACTGCACTCCAACCTGAGCAACAGAGCGAGGCTCCATCTCAGTAAAATAAAATAAAATAATAAAATATTCTGCTCAAAGCTCCGTCTGCTCTCTGGAACCTCCCGTTTGATCATTTTCAGGTTTGTTTCCTCTCTATAAGGTGGGTCAGTATCAGCTGCAGGAGTACAGGGCAAGGCGTGTAGCACACAGTAGGTGCATAATAAATACTTGAGGAGGGGAGGAAGGGATGAGCTAGCGAGAGCAGCAGATCCGAAGTTCCAATCAGGGCAGATAAGCCTGGTGAGGAGACGGAGGCTGCAGTGAGCCGAGGTCACGCCCTTGCTGAGGTGGGCCCAGTGACCAATCCAGCCAAGAGCATCTCACCCCTCACCTCCCTCTCCTGAGTCTGCCGACAAGCTGGAAGCAAGAATCCATCTTTGACTGGCCAGGCGCTGTGGCCTGTAATCCCAGCACTTTGGGAGGCCACGGCAGGTGGATCACTTGAGGTTAGGAGTTTGAGACCAGCCTGGGCAACATGGTGAAACCCTGTCTCTATCAAAAACACAAAAATTAGCTGGGCGTGGTGACACATACCTGTGACCTGTAATCCCAGATATTCGGGAGGCTGAGCAGGAGAATTGCTTGAACCCAGGAAGCGGAGGTTGCGATGAGCTGAGATCGCGCCACTGCACTCCCGCCTGGGTGACAGAGCGAGACTCTGTCTCAGAAAAAAGAAAGAGAAATCTGTCTTTGGGGATGTGAGCTGAAAGCAATAGGGAGCTGTGAAGGGTGTCTGAGCAGGGGGTGGGGTGGGATGAGGTCAGAAATTCCTGCAGCCTTTGCCTCAGCCACGTCCTGTTTTGTTTCTGTTTTCTTGAGACAAAATCTCACTCTGTTGCTCCCCAGATTAGAGTGCAGTGGCGCAATCATGGCTCACTGCAGCCTCCAACTCCTGGGCTCAAGTGATCCTCGTGCCTCAGTCTCCCGAGTAGCTGGGACTACAGGCATGTGAGTACCACCAAGCCCGACAAATTTTTTATTTTGTGTAGAGACAGGATACGGGACTCCTGGGCTCAAGCGATCCTCCCACTTTTGCCTCCCAAAGTGCTGGAATTACAGCTGTGAGCCATTGCCCCATGCCTTGTTTTGTTTTGTTTTTTGAGACAGAGTCTCACCCTGTCACCAGGCTGGAGCGCAATGGCACGATCTCAGCTCACTGCAACCTCTGCCTCCCGGGTTCAAGCGATTCCTGCCTCAGCTTCCTGTGTAGCTGGGATTACAGGAGTGTGCCATCATGCCCTGCTAATTTTTGTATTTTTAGTAGAGCTAGGGTTTCACCATATTGGCCAGGATGGTCTTGATCTCCTGACCTCGTGATCCACCCGCCTCGGCCTCTCAAAGTGTTTGAATGACAGGCGTGAGCCACCGCGCCTGGCCGCCTTGTTTTTACCAATGTATATTTTCTACTGGAAAACGAAACTTTTAGGGATGAATGCGGACTTGTCTCCGTTAAAACTTATAAATTGTTTTTAAAGAAAAAAGACGTCCAGGTCCTCACAAAACGTTTTATTCTCTAAGAATGTCCCATCACAATGCCTGTGAAGCATGAGTCCCAAAGACTGAGGCCTGAAGCTGGCCATAATCTGTAAAACATACTGGGGTGGGGGCCCCTTCTCCAGGAAGTGGGGCCTGTGCCTATTGGCCTCGTGTCCATTAAAGACGCTTCCAGCCCCAGTGCTGTTCTCTGAATTATTAGGGAGCACAGGGATAGGGACTGACTCCCAATGGGGACCGCAGAAACTCTGAGCTCCCACAACATTTAAAGAACATCTGCCTCCCTCCTCTGCCCACGCCTCCACCATCAGAGCATTTGATACCACAAGCAAGGAGGGGCAGTCCTGTTCCACAACCTCTCTGGTCCCCCCTCACCACCTTCTGAGTAGTCTGAGGCCCAGGAAAGGGCTAAGATCGCACTGTAGTTTCAGCTACTCAGGAGGCTGAGGCAGGAGAGTTGCTTGAACACAAGAGGCGGAGGTTGTGATGAGTTGAGATCGCACCACTGCACTCCAGCTTTGGCAACAGAGCGAGACTTTGCCACACACACACACACACACACACACACACACACACACACAATCAGGACCTCTCTTCTCCTGGGCTGAAAGATATTTCTCATATCAGCTCTATGTAGACACAGGAGTTTCTGGTTGGCCTGGAACTGGGCGGAGCTTATCTGCCATTAAACCACGGCTGGTGCACTGCTTAGTACCTTGTTTGTAAGTAGGTCAGAGCATGGAAGTAGGACCTTGATCTAAATGGAATGAATGCATCCAGAGTTGGAACCCTAGCAGAGGCACTTTTACCATTAGCTTCCACAAACAGAAGACAGATATTTTCTGGAGTTCCTTTAGCCATCCAGGGAGAATGCTGGAACAATACCAGGTGGGTTTTGAAGGATGTATAGGAGTTCACCAGCCAGAATATTTACTCATCAAACCTTCCCTGGCACTCCCCTCCGCTCAGACCACAAAGATCGTAGCTTGCGGGGAGGAAGGTGTCACCCCTTCCTATGAAAACAGGAGCCCAGAGGCTGGGGACCCTGATGCTGCCTCAGTGGATCTGTCTCTGTCTGCCACAGGAGAGGTTGGGCTGGTTCAGTGCATCCCACATGAGCAGTATCTCATAAGGCAGGAAGCGGTGCACCAGCAGCAGGTCACGGTAGAGGCAGGGGTCAAAGGAGGACAGGCGTTGCGATGGGACACGCACGCCAACTGTGCGGATGCCGCTGTGGGAGGCAGGCTTCAGTCCCTCGAGCTCCAGACACATACCCATGAAGACATCATCAATGGGGAAGAGGTCTAAGACACGGGTGGCCCGGCGCAGGGCACCGGCCGTGAAGCGGGACAGCAGGAAACCACCCCCCCCACAGTAGGGTGGGTACCGCTCGTGCTGAGTCACTATCTTCGGCACGTAGTACTTGCTCCAGAAAACCCGGATGGGGCCCACGTTTCGGATCAGTTGCCCCACGAAGAGGTGGCGGCCAGGGTCATGGGCCTGCAGGTAGGAGACCATGTTGTCCGTGTGTGCAAAGACGTCATCGTCCCCGTTGAGCACGAAGCTGGCGTTGGGGCACCTCACTTCCTGCCACTGTAAGAACAGCACCTGCAGACAAGGGGGGCAGGGCATGCCTGCTGGAGGGCTGCAGAGATTGGCCCTGGGCCCCTGTTGGCCACCCCAGCCCAGTGAGCCCAGGAAAGGAAGTGTCTACAGTCCAGACTGGGTTTGAGGTCCAGTTCTGTGGGGGTTACTTTTGAAACCCTCTCTGTGCCTCAGTTTCCAACTCTCCAAATAGGCCTCATCATGTGCCTCTAGGAGTATTGGGAAAATCCATGGAGACCATGCTTCATGAAGCATCAAGAAATGCTAGAAAATTGTTACATTTACATTTACTGCTATTCCTTCCAACTCTGCCTGGCCAAGCCCTGTTGTTAAATACTCGTTTGTGTGAATTTTGTTTTTGTTTTTGAGACAGGGTCTTGCTCTATTGCCCAGGCTTGAGTGCAGTGGCGTGATCATAGTTCATTGCAGCCTCAAATTCCTGGGCTCAAGTGATCCTCCCACCTCAGCCTCCCGAGTAGCTGGGAATACAGACACGTGCCACTACTCCCGGCTAATTAAAACAATTTTTTTAAGAGATGGGATCTTGCTATGTTGCCCAGGCTGGTCTCAAACTCCTGGCCTCAAAGGATCCTCCTACCTTGGCCTCCCAAAACGCTGAGATGATAAGCATGAGCCACCACTCCTGGCCTTTGGGAGATTTTTTTTTTTTTCTTTTTTTGAGATGGAGTTTTCACTTTTACTACCCAGGCTGGAGTGCAGTGACATGACCTTGGGTCCCTGCAACCTCTGCCTTCTGGGCTCAAGCAATTCTCCTGCCTCAGCCTCCCGAGTAGCTGGGATTATAGGCATGCACGGCCATGCCTGGCTAATTTTTTGTATTTAGTAGAGCTGTTTTCACCATGTTGGCCAGGCTGGTCTTGAACTCCTGACCTCAGGCGATCCACTTGCCTCAGCCTCCCAAAGCGCTGGGATTACAGGTGTAAGCCACCGCGCCTGGCCTGCGAGATTGCTCACATCTACCTCTCCAATCAAACAGTGGGCTTCCGTCCTTGGGCCTGTGTCTCTATCTTTCTCTCCAGGCCATCTCTCTCTGAGCACCCAGCAGAGTGCTGGAGCTTAATGGGTGCTGGGTTCATATTTGTCAAGCTGACATTTATCACACACTTTTTTTTTTTTTTTTTTTTTTTGAGACAGAGTTTCGCTCTTGTTACCCAGGCTGGAGTGCAATGGCGCAATCTCGGCTCACTGCAACCTCCGCCTCCTGGGTTCAGGCAATTCTCCTGCCTCAGCCTCCTGAGTAGCTGGGATTACAGGCACGCGCCACCATGCCCAGCTAATTTTTTTTGTATTTTTAGTAGAGACAGGGTTTCACCATGTTGACCAGGATGGTCTCGATCTCTTGACCTCGTGATCCACCCGCCTCGGCCTCCCAAGGTGCTGGGATTACAGGCGTGAGCCACCGCGCCCGGCCTTTTTTTTTTTTTTTTTTTTCTTTTTTTTTTTTTTTTGAGGTAGAGTCTCACTCTGTCAGCCAGGCTGGAGTGCAGTGGCGCGATCTTGGCTCACTGCAACCTCCACCTCCAGGGCTCAAGCGATTCTCCTGCCTCAGCCTCACCATGGTGGAAACCTACTTGGTAACTAACACGGGCTGGGTATCTGCTTGCTGCTGGGCACTGTGCTTGGCGTGCACCCTACCTTGAATCCTGAATGTACCCTTAGGAGGTAGCAGTGGTCTTCAATCTTATTTACAGACCAGGGAACAGAGGCTGTCTGGAGAAAACTGCATTAGGTGAGGTCACCCGCAGAGAAATGGCCCCTAGCGGCCTCGAATCCAGGCCTGTCTGTACCTCCTATGAGCAGGAACCTGCTGAATTCCCCTGATCCTCCTTGAAAATGTCTCTACTTGTCTTGCTCAACTCGAGGACCTAGGAGGGCTTCTTAGAGCCTCCATTTCCTCATCTGCGGATGGGCAGGATTTTCTCACCTCTCATGGGTTCTTTAAAAAAAAAAAAAAAATAGAGATGAGGTCAGGCATGGTGGCTCATGCCTGTAGTCCCAGCACTTTGGGAGGCCAAGGGAGTGGATCACCTGAGGTCAGGAGCTCGAGACCATCCTGGCCAACATGGTAAAACCCCATCTCTACTAAAAATATAAAAATCAGCTGGGTGTGGTGGCAGGTGCCTGTAATCCCAGCTACTCGGGAGGCTGAGGCAGGAGAATCGCTTGAACCTGGGAGGCGGAGGTTGCAGTGAGCTGAGATCGTGCCACTGCACTCCAGCTGGGCGACAGAATGAGACTCCATAAAACAAACAAACCAACCAACCCAAGGAGATGTGCTTCCTGTCACTGCCAAGTTGAGTTGGGCATCCGGCACTGGTCTGCGTGCCTTATAAAAGCAAATCTCCTGTAAACCTCACAGCAGTCCCCAGAGGTAGGTGGGACCCATTCACATCCCATTTCCCAGGTAAGAAAACTGAGGCACAGAGGTGAATGAACTCCTCCAAGGTCAAAGAGCAAGTAGGAGGCAGAGCTTGGATTCGAACCCCATCATCGGGCTGGAGCTCTGTGCTGGTAACCTAGCTCCTCTGCCCTTCCCCCCAGCCTTCCCCAGGAGCCGACGACTTTGGGTCACCACAAGGCTGGTGGGGATAACAGGGGGGCAGAATGGAGCACGATGGTCCCCTGGGTCCTTCAGGAAGGGGTGGTCATTTGGACAAGAAGGGCAGGTGCCCGGATCAGGTGACCTCAGCCCGGCGCACCTGCTTGAGTGTCAGGTTGAAGAAGGTGTCGTGGAAATCCCACTGTAGGATGTCTCCGTGAGTCTGAGCCTCCAGCTCCAGCAGCCGGTTGACCTTGCGGGCCTCGTGCGGGTTGACGGCTGTGCCCACCAGGAAGAGGAGGCGCAGCTGCAAACCCTGCACCTTGCGCTCGCGGCCCCACGTGCGCCGCAGCAGCTCGCGCCGCTCGTAGTTGCTGGGCGAGGACTTGATCGCCAGCAGCAGGAAGACCGGCTGCGCGCACTTAGAGGGGGGCGCGTCCCGCAGCAGCGGGAAGTCGCGGCAGTGTTTGTACAGCAGGAAGTCCTGAACCTGCCGCGGCTGCCCCGCGAAGTCCGGGTGCGCAGCCACAGAGGTGTTGGCGCTGCACGGGGCGCGGGCTGCGGGGGCGGGTGGAGTGGGCCAGGCCAGGGTCTTGGGGGTCTCTGGTGGCTGCTTCCGGACGTCGTAGGTGGGTGGTGACTCTTGCAGAGCGAAGAGGAGGAGAAGGAGGAGGGTGAAAGCACCGGTGGCCAGAATGAGGGTGCCCGCGGGCCGAAGGTGCCGGAGAAGCCTCATCCTGGCCAGCCAGGGTCTGGGGTCAGCCTGAGGAGCCCCCTGGGCAGCTCCTGCAGAAAACAAAACTCACTGAACACTCTCCGTGAGCAAAGCGCTTCCTTGTGGCCCCCAACACCTCATGGCACCTTACGGTTGCTCAGGTTGGCAAAATATTGAAATCCACCCCGCAGCTAACCCCTTTACCCCTTGCAAGCCCCACTGCAAAGCACTCCAACCCCGATTGGCTCTGACAGGTGCCTTGCTGGGGATTATTTTTATTTTCATTCTTTTTGAGACAGGGTCTCTCATTCTGTTGCCCAGGCTGGAGTGCAGTGGTGTGATTTCACCTCACTGCAGCCTCCACCTCAGGGGTTCAAGCGATCCCCCTGACTCAGCCTCCTGAGCAGCTGGGATTACAGGTGTGACCCACCGTGCCTGGCTAATTTTTTTTTGTATTTTTAGCAGAGACGGGGTTTCTCCATGTTGGTCAGGCTGGTCTTAACCTCTCAACCTCAGGTGATCTGCCTGTCTCAGCCTCCCAAAGTGCAGGAATTATAGGCACGAGCCACTGCGCCCGGCCTTTCCATGTGAAGTCTTAGTTTCCTTATTAGGACAAGGGGGTGCTGAGATTACCCCTCTCTCTCACACACACAGTGGGGCCACAGCTCCCTGTGACTGCGAGAGGGCTTGGTGCATCTTAGCTGTGTGGTGACCGTCAGTCCACCCCCTGGCTGCCTTGATTCCCCACTTACAGACAGGGACGTTAAGCTTCAGCATGGAGCAGGATCAGAACCCAGGACTTGGAAGGTGCAGTCCGCCCACCTCATACACCCCTCAACTCGGGGTCATTGGGGGATTCCCTGTTCAGATCTCAGGGCCTCCCAGAATCTATCACAAGGGACTGCACCATGGAAGGCACCAAATATCTCTCAAAGGATAGAGAACCTGGCCAACCTCTGCCACCCGGGGCACAGACAGGTGAGTATCTGTGAACATGCATGAGTCCAATCCTGTTTATTTGTTTTTTTTTTTCTATTTAATATATATTTTTTTAAAGACGGAGTTTCACCATGATGGCCAGGCTGGTCTTGAACTCCTGACCTCAGGTGATCCACCCACCTCGGCCTCCCAAAGTGCTGGGATTACAGGCGTGAGCCACCACGCCCGGCCTGTGTTTTTTCCTTATCTTTTTTTTTTTTTTTTAATGGGGCTGACCGGTGCAGGAATCGAGTCTGCGACCTTGGGCACTGAGCACCAGGCACTCACCAACTGAGCTAACCGGCTGCCCGAGTCCAATCCTGTTAACTGTCACACTGACTCATCAGCCCAAGAGTGTTTACTGAGCAACTACTATATGCTAGATGCTGGGGATGCAGTCGTGACCAAGCCAGCCCTGTCCTCACTATAATAATGCAGTAGAACAGCTTGGGCAACATGGTGAAACCGCATCTCTACAAAAAACACAAAAATTAGGCTGGGCACAGTGGCTTACACCCATAATCCCAGCACTTTAGGAGGCCAAGGCAGGTGGATCACTTGAGGTCAGGAGCCTAAGACCAGCCAGGCCATCTCTACTAAAAATACAAAAATTAGCCAGCTAGGGTGGTGGGTGCCTGTAATCCCAACTACTCGGGAGGCTGAGGCAGGAGAATTGCTTGAACCCAGGAGGCAGAGGCCACAGTGAGCTGTGATTGTGCCACTGCACTCCAGACTGGACGACAGAGTGAGACTGTGTCTCAAAACAAAAAATTAGCAGGGTGGGTGGGGTGGCATGGGCTTGTGGTCTCAGCTACTCAGGAGGCTGAGGTGGGAGGATCACCTGAGCCCAGAAGTTCGGGGCTGCTGTGAGCTATGATCACACCACTGCACTCCAGCCTGGGCCACAGAGCAAGACACTGTCTCAAAAAAAATTGCTAATGATATTAACAATTAGTGACAGCCATACTAATTGCTACTGAGGCAGGTCCATGGGTGACCTGAGCAACCTAGGAGCGGGGAGGTCCTGAAGGATGACGGGGATTCACTTGGGCAGAGGGGCGAGTACATGTAAAGGCCCTCAGGTGGACCCAGATTTAGGGTGTTGGTGGCAGAACGAGGAGGTTGATGTGGTTGGGATGGGGGCGGGGCGGGGGAAGGAGGTGATGATGGAGTTATGGGACCCGACTAGGGTGCAGGAATCGAATGGGCAGGCCAGGAAGAAAGTCTTATTTTCCTGTAAGAAGCAATGGGGAGCCATGCAGGGTCTATGAGCAGGGGAGGAATCAGATTGATTTATACATTTAAGAAGTCCCCTGTGGGCCGGGTGAGGTGGCTTATGCCTATAATCTCAGCACTTTGGGAGGCCGAGGCAGGTGGATCAACAGGTCAGTAGTCTGAGACCAGCCTGGCCAAGATAGTGAAACTCCATCTCTACTAAAAATATAAAAATTAGCTGGGTGTGGTGGTAGGCGCCTGTAATCCCAGCTACTCAGGTGGCTGAGGCAGGAGAATCGCTTGAACCCGGGAGGTGGAGGGTGCAGGGAGCAGAGATCGCACCATTGCACTCCAGAGGAACAGAATATGAGGAACCTCTGGGCAGTGGGAGACTCGGTCCGGTATCCAGGTGAGAGATGTTGGCACACGATGGCCTGTAAACCAGGAAGACCCAGCAGGTACTGCTTGTGTGTGCTGCGTTTAAAGAGACAGCGTCTCACTATGTTGCCCAGGCTGGTCTTGAATTCCCTGGGCTCAAGCCATCCTCCTGCCTTCGCCTCCCAAAGTGCTGGGATTACAGACATGAGCCACCACGCCAGCTAATTTTTAAAACGTGTTTTTTTAGCGAAAGGATCTCACTTGCTCTGTTGTCCAAGCTGGAGTGCAGTGGCGATCAGACCTCACTGCAGCCTCCAGCTCCTGGGCTCAAGTGATCCTCCTTCCTTAGCCTCCCGAGTTGCTGGGGCCACAGACACCAGTCACCACACCCGACGCCAACAGGTTGATGAAAGAGAACATCGTATGTTGTCTGCACATAACAGCACCTCCCCTGCACTCCTGCTCAGGGTGGGTAAAGAAGCGTCACCTCAAGCCAGACATGGTGCCACCAGTGTGCAGCAGTGACGTCCAGGCTCACTCTTGGGGCCCCTCTCCTGCCCGCCCGCTGCCAGACCAGCCGGTCCTGCCTGGAGCTGTTTGCCTTTCACGTGCCAGTGCGATTTTACCATCCTCCAGAACCCACTTCCTCAAATGCACACAGAAAAGCCACTTATTTTCATCTGCCGAGACCCAGAAGCCTCCGCTTGGGGTGTGGCTGCAGGATGTGGGTCCTCTCTGCTGCCATCTTTCCCACACAATCTCTGCCCTCACTCATCTGCGCCAGCTGCACCAGATTCTTGATCAATCCTTAAACATGGCCTGGCGCGGTGCCTCACGCCTGTAATCCCAGCACTTTGGGAGGCCGAGGTGGGTGGATCTCCCGAGGTCAGGAGTTCGAGACCAGCCTGGCCAATGTGGTGAAACGCTGTCTCTGCTAAAAATGCAAAAATTAGCTGGGCATGGTGGCACGTGCCTGTAATCCAAGCTACTTAGGAGGCTGAGGCAGGAGAATCACTTGAATCCAGGAGGCGGAGGTTGCAGTGAGCCGAGATGGCGCCATTGCACTCCAGCCTGGGGGA